TTATTCTTGAACTCTGCCTAGGTAGAATCTCTTTGGAACGCTGCGTAGACATACTAAGAGCGTACCATGTCCTCAGAACAGGCACTCGCGAACTTTGTGAATTGGAAGCAATTCCCCAGGCAAGTTTGGTACCGGCCATACTACCCAGACTAATGGCAGGCTTATTTTGCTCGGTTAGGGTTCAAAATAATACCCTAGGGCATTTTAAAGTGTATCTCAAGTTTCCAAGTCCTCGATTGCTCGAATGTTCTTCAAGCTGTCAGAGAACTAACATCGTCGCGAACGATTAGCTAATTTGTATTTTTCGACGCTGTAAATTTCGTTTTTGATCAATATTTAACAGGACCTTTTAATGAATGAGCCATAGCTTGGTTGAACTGGCTGTTCAATGCTATCATTGGTTTTTTCTTTTAACACCATAAATTCTTTAGCGTTATCAGCTTTTTCACTTGTAAACAAAGCAAAAAGCGCCTTTTGGCGTAGTGAGTGCATCGTATGCGGACGCAGTGGGCCATGTTTCCTCCGGAAATTCGTAGATGCTCCGAATAAAGCCATTCATGTATTCGAAGCTAACCTAGCGCTTTCGAATGTTCACCGGAATTGTGTTGGCCTCACTTACAGACGATAGGCAATACCTTTTCTAAGGGCTTCAACCGAGCGGAACGTTTCTCACCAGAACGCTTCTTACCAGCGAATTCTACATATTCCTGATCGACTAAAAGCAGACATCAGCGAACGAGTTATGGTTTCATAATGACTAAATCACCTGCATCACCTGTAGTCCGTCGAATAACTCGAGCAAGCGCCAGTAAATCTTCCATTTTTCCCTGTCGCGTGCGAGAGTAGTCCAGTGGGTTCTGCTCGCTCTAGGGACTCGTTGATCACCATATCTTTCTTCAAGGCTCTTTGTGAAAAATTCTGACCATCGTGTCGGTGGTCTTTCTGCAGTACGTTTAACATCCCGAGGAATCCAGTCACTAACGGCAGTCACGAACAGCTCTTGTCCATCGGTTGTCTTTCATACGCATTACTTGTCTGGCCCACCTTATCTTCAAATGTTAGGCCTACAGAACTGCACCTTTGACTTTTTATCGTTGACGCAGGTCGGAGCTTCGGATTCCATCCCTTACTTGTGTGAAACGGGATACTCCTAGCATTGTCCTATCGACTGCACGCTCAATAACGCTGAGTGATCTTTCATCCTGCTTACGCAGCGACCAGATTTCTGAAACATACGTTAGTGTAGGAAGTACGGTTGAGCCGAAAAGGTGGGCACGGACTCGCGTGTTCTTTGTTCTCTTCACTACATCCTCGACGCTCTTGAAAGCTCTCCAAGCCGCTCGTTTCCTTCTGCTCAGCACTTGAGCTAGGTCGTTCATCATATTGATTTCCCGATCTAGATAGACATAACTGGAGCATTCGGAGATATTTGTTCCGTTGAGCGTGAATGGGGCATACAAAACCAATCCGTTCCTCATAAACATCGTTTTAGTGAGATTTAGTCGAAGACCAATCTTTCCACAGGCTTTATCAAAGTCGTCGAGCATACGTTCCGCTTGGCTAATGTTTGGTGTTTTAAGGATGATGTCAAGCAGAGCGAAGATGGTGTAACTGCCCTGCCGTCCATCGATTTTCACTCCCATATTTTTCCATTCCAATGTTCGCATGACGTTCTGAAGGGTGGCGGTAAATGACTTTGGCGAGATGGTATCGCCTCACCTAACTCCTCTTTTGACGTCAGTGTTAACGTCGTTGTAGAATGGTGATATCTTGGTTGTGAAATTTTTGTACAGCTCACGAAGAATCTTTATGTACTGAGTAGTGGCCCCTTGACTATCAAGGGATCCCAAGACTGCTTCTCTCTCAACTGAATCAAAGGACTTCTGTAAATCGATGAAACTGAGACAGAGCGGTCTTTTGTACTCTCGCGATACTCCAAAGAGCCGTATTACCGTGTGGTTGTATTCCATTGTACTAAATCCTTTTCGAAACCTTGCTTGCTCACATGGCTTTTGTTGGTCTAGTGTTCTGTTAATCCTGTTTAGGATGACTCGAGTGAAAAGTTTTTAGACGACAGAAAGTAAGTAGATTGGGCGATAGTTGCCGATATTGTGCCGGTCACCCTTCTTGAACAATAACACGGTCTTGCTAGTCTTCCACTGAGTAGGGATCTTACATTCAGATGGGTAACGTGTAATGAACCAAGCCAGTGTATTTACGAGGACTGGCGGAAGGCACTTCAGGTGTTCTGGTCTTATCCTGTCCGAACCTGGTGCTGTTTTTCACCGACGAAATGACATGTCGGATTTCTGAAGGAAGAACCGATGGTACAACATATCCATCCTCCTTTATTTCATATGACGGAAAGTGGACGTAGCTATCGACGAGATCCCAGTGGTATTCGTGAATGATTTTCTCCATTGCCTTTCTGGAAGCTGTAACTGTTCCTTCTGGACGACGGAGTGCAATCATCTTGATCTTGTAATTGGCGACGCTTCGGTGGGCTTTGCGAGTGCTTTTCGCAGCCTCTGCAGCTTCAACCATTACTGGTGTTCTTCTCTCTTTAAGATCTTCTTTTATCGCCTGCCTGCATTGTTTTGCAAGTTCGCGGTTGCCTGCCTCTCGTGCGTTTCCACGCTGGCGTATCAGCTCGAGTGTTTCTGGAGACAAACGCCTCTTGGTGACTTTCGAACTCTCAGCTTTCATAGCACTAACGCGAAGATGTTGAATGAGCCGATCGGTGTTATCGACAACGGCATCTTCCCAACAGCCGACTAATGAATTGAGTAAGTTCCTGTTTGCGGTGGTTTTGGGACCTCGGTTTTTGAGTTTAGCAGCTTTTTCTCCTTTCCTCAAGAAATAGAATCTTGCACAGAGGAGATGGTGGTCTGATCCCTTGTAGAATTTGGGACAGCAGCGACATCGGTTAGGCGAAACCTTCTATTTACTATGATGTGCTCTATTTCGTCGTGGTATTCTCAACTGGGAGACTCCCACCTCCAGCGCTGAGGGTGGCGCTTCTGGAATTGCGAGTTACCATGGATTGTCTTGGTAGCCATGATAAACTCAGATAGCCGCTCGCCCTGTTCGTTCCATTCTAATCCGTGTGTCCCAATGTGACGTTCTTCAAACGTTTTTCCTGGTCCAGTCTTGGCGCTGAAATCTCCAATGATGACCTTGAAGAATGTGTGGTCTTCTCTGTAGAACTTCTCCAAGCCCATATAGAACGCTTCGACTTCTTCTTCATCAAAGTTTGATGTCGGCGCGTAAACGGCGAAGATTGCCAAATCCGGTATTGATCCACGTTGTTTTAATCGTAAACGTCCGATTCGAGTTGTAAGCTGTTCGAATGAATAGGTGTTCGTGGACAAACTGGTGTTGACGAGAAAGCCGATGTTGCCGACTCTTCTACTATCGCATGTTCCGCGGAGCAGTTCTTCTCCGGTGTCACAGACGGCGTTGAAAGGCTGGCGCCTTCTCGTCTCGGCCAGGCCGATGACGTCGTACTTTATCCTTCTTGCTTGCACAAGCAAGTCTTTTATCGAAGACTTGGATGCAAGTGTACGTGCATTGTAGGTACTGATCGTAACCATAGTTCTTTGAAATCCCAGCAGCTTCCATTGGCCCTAGGATTTTAGCAGCCTCTCCGTACTCGTCGTACCCAACGCTGTGGCAAATATAGGAAGTATATGCCAAATCAGCGCAGCAAAAACAGGATGTCCATTCCCTGGATCCACCTGCGTCTCAGGAAGGCAAAGGTCGCTTTTAGCCCGCTATTATTCTCCTATCCGCCACCTGGGGACGCGTCATGTAGCCTCGCGACTATCCGGCTCGAGATCCCTCATATGAGGGAGATCCGTGGAGTGACTAAATAGGAGTAGGAATTCGGCTTTTTTCATCGAATGCCATCGTTCAATTGGCAAATTTCATGAATCACGGCGTGGAAGAAGCCCAATGCAGCAAATTTCCCCTTAATCCACATCAGTAATAGTCAGGTGCTGCCCAATTTAACACCTATGGACGGTTCAACAGGATCGTAGCACCCAAAGGTAAACCACTACTCGAAGATCACTAAAAATGTCCACCTTCAAACCATAGAAGAATCGTGAGCACGACAAACTTTATGGATGAGCGTTGCAAAACAGCGAAACTGTATGGAAAATTGCTGGACCTTGTGCGACACGTGAGAATTGGCCATCTGAGTATCTATGCGTTTAAATAAAGGGCAAGAAGCGTTCGGCCTTGACCACTGTTTTAGGGATACGTCATGCATTCGACTTCATTCGTAGCGTCGTAATTGTTGTTGAGAATACATTTTGTAAGTACGACGACTTTCGAAGGCCTGATGATTTATCACGTCAGTGTCTTTATTTTCGTAGACAAGTCTGGTACTAATTTTTTGGCTCTGGAATGATGGAGGTTTACCAGAGAATACGGTTGAAAATAGCAAACCTGTGTACATTGCCGGCTACCTATAAGCACTGCGCTACACGCTCACAGTAAACAAATAAGAACGAACTTGAAATGTTCTTATTTGCTAACCACAACGAGAATAGCAGATGTTTCCAAATTCCTGGAAGAGATTCTATCCACTATGATTCGCCAGATTCTTGATTTTTTGTTCATGTCGAAATTTATCATCCGTTGAATTACAGGGCTTAAATAAGAAGATAAAAATACATGAGCGATGAAAGGTAATAAAGGATAAAACTCTCGGCGTTGACCAATCCCTGAGAAATGCGCTATGCCTTCGATTTCATTAAGTATCGCTGGAGGTGATTGAATGCATATCTAACCTTTACAATGACTTGCGGTGGCCTACAGATGTATCGAGTCCATGCTGCTATTCTCCCAGATAAGTATGGTACCAATTTGCCGACCCCTAAGGGATGGAAGGCTTGGTGAGCCCGGGCGCGGGAATCGATTCCATGTGTGTTTTGAGGGCAATAATTAATAACCTTCTATATGATTGAGCCGACATGACGTTGGTATGAAAACTTCTATTCTGCTAACGTTTCGGCATCCTTGCTCTCTTCAGGGCCGCGCTGTTCCGAGTCGATGTTCGACAGCTGATCCCTGTTGCGTGTGCGTGTTCGTAGTTGCATTGAATCGCATCCAGTGGATAGAGCACCGTTCGAATGGACAACTTCACTCAGAGGTGCCCTCTTACAGAAAATTATTGATTAACATTACCGAGATTACCCTTGAGGAACCGAAAGAAAGCTGGCTACCATTTTTGCAGGTTCAAATTAAGCTGTCCGAAAACACCTACATCACCAAACACTACCGAAAGCCAAGTAGCAAAACCATCACCTGTTTTATTGACTGTTGCGTTACTCGATACAGCTCCAGTAAATCTTGCGCTTTTCCTCGTCGCGTGCAAAAGGAACTCGTGGGTTCCGCTCACTTTAGACACTCGTTGAGTATCATATCTTTTCCTTGGGTTTTCGCGAATAACTCTGGCCATCCAGTATCCTGCAGTACTTTTGACATAACAATGAATCCAGTCACTAACGGATCTCGCCCATTGGTTGTCGTTCAGATGCATTATATGACCACTTATCTCCGGCAGTTTGGCGCGTACAACAGCGTCTTTGATTCTTGATTGTTGACATAGATCGGGGCTTCGATCCCTTCCCTCACCTGCCTGATACAGGATGCCCCTAGCATTTTCTTTCGACTACGCGTCCAATAACGTTGAATGATCTCTTATTCTGTTCACGCAACGACCAGGTTTGTGACACTTACGTTAAGGTAGAAAGGACCATGGAATCGAAAGGGTGACCGGGGAGCCGCGTGATCTTGTCTTCACTTCATCCCCGATGCTTTTGAAAGCCTGTCAAGCCACTCGTTTCCTTCTTCTCAATTCTGGAGCTAAGTCGTTCAACATGTTGATTTGCAGACCTGACCTAGATAAACGTAACTGGAGCATTCCAAGACAATCATTCCGTTGAGTGTGAATGGGACATGCGTAACCTTTCCGTTCCTCATGAACGTCGTTTTTGTCAGATTTACTCAAAAGCCAGCCTACCCACAGGCTTTATCAAAATCGGCGAACATTCGCTCTGCTTGGCTAATGTTTGGAATTTCGCACGATGTTCTCGAGCGTGGAGGAAAATAACTTCGGAGAGATGGTATTTTCTTGCTTAACTCCCTTTTCACGCTGACGTTAACATTATTGAATGGCAACATTTCGACTGTTAAATTTTCATATAGCTCAAGAAGATTCTTTATACCCTAAGTAGGGACGCCTTGGCTATCTAAGGCTTCCACTACTTTTGTCTCAACTGAGTCAAAGGCCTTCTTTAAATCGATGAAAGTGGGATCGCGCGGTCCTTTGTACTTTCGCGATACCTCGAGTCTTGTTATTGTGTGGATGTGGTACATAACACTAAATCCTTTTTGGAAACCCTGCTTGCTCACATAGCTTTCCTTCGTCCAGTGTTCTGCTATTCCTGTTTAGGATGACTCGAGTGAAAAGTTTGTAGACGGCAGACAGTAAGCAGATTGGATGATAGTTCCCGATATCGTGTAGGTCATCCTTCTTGAACATCAACACAGTCTTGTTGGTCTTCTACTGAGTAGGGACCTTGCATTCAAACAGGTAACGTGTGAAGAGTCGAGCTAGTGTGTTTACGAGGACTGGCGGAAGGCTTTTCAGGTGTTCTGGTCTTATCCTGTCCGGACCTTGTACTGTTCGATTTTCCACCGATGAAATGGCATGTCGGATTTCGGAAGGAAGAACCGGTGGTACAACATATCCATCCTCTTTTATTTCATATTACTGAAGGTGGACGCGGCTATCGAAGAGATCCGAGTAGCATTCGTGAATGATTTTCTCCATTGCCTTTCTGGAAGTTGTAACTGTTCCGTCTGGGCGCCGGAGTGCAATTATCTAAGTCTTGTAATTGGTGAAGCCTCAGTGAGCTTAGCGAATGCTTTTCCCAACCTCTTCAGCTTCGCCATTACTGCTGCTCTTCTCTTTTTAAGATTTTCTTTTATTGCCTGCTTGCATTGTTTTGAAAGTTCAGACCTGATCAGTTGCCTGTAGCTCGTGGGATTCCATGCCGGCTTATCTCCTGTTATCGAGAAGGATTTCTTCCCAACAGCTGATTAATGAAGTGAATGAGCCCAGTTAACGGCGATTCTGGCACTTCTTTTTTTGAGTTTTATGGCTTTTTCTCTTTTTCGTGGAAATGAGGGAAAAACCCGTTAGGCCGATTCCGTGTCGAATTTTTGGATTGGACAACAGCGACAGCTGTTAGTCAAAACCCTCGGTTTACTATGATGTCATTTATTTCCTTCTGACACTCTGCATTGGGAGACTCTCACGTCCAGCGCTAAGAGTGGCGCTTTTGGAATTGTGAGTTACCATGAATGATCATGGTCGTGGTGTTAAACTCAGACAGTTGCTCACCCTGCTCGTTCCATTCTAATCTGTGGGTCCCAATGTGATACTCTTCAGACGTTCTTCTGGGTCTAACCTCTCCGTGACCATGTTAAACCTTTCTACTACACCTTCGTCGTAGCTTGATGTCAGTGCGTAGGCGGTAGACGATTCTCAAAACCGGTATTGACCCACAACTTTTCAACCGTAAATGTCGCATTCGGGCTGTTAGTTTTTCCAATGAATCCATGGTCATGGCGAAATTCGTGTTGACAAGGACGCAGTCGCGCCAACTGTTCTATTGTCGTATGTTCAGAAGAACAGTTCTTCAGTGTCATAGATTGCATTGAATGGGTTGCGTCTTCTCGTCTCAGTCAGCCCGATGACATCGTATCATGTCCGCTTTGGCTCTATCGAAGTCTCGGGTATTAGACACTAATAGTGTAAAAGTACTGACTGAGAGAAAGGCAAAGTAAGAGCCTTGTTTGATGCAGTGAATAGCATGTTATCCAACGAAAAGAGTGATCTGAAGCTTGAAGCTTATCTACGGTCTCTCTCATACCTTGCTCTTACCTTAACATCGTTGTGGTTGTATTTCACATCAAAGCGACTTTTCAGCGTTGCTTTAGCGTTTTGGTAAATTGTTAATTTTGCTGGGACGGATGCACAGAGGTGAGATAAAAGCTAAAGGATAAAGCTTACGGCGTTCCCTGAAAGATGCGTGTAATCGACATCATTAAGCATCGTTTGGAGGTGACTGAATGCACATCTGGTCTTTACTATGACTCGCGGTGGCCAACGGATGTAACGAGCCAGCGCTCTTATTTTCCCAGACAAATCTGGTACCAATTTGCTGACCTCGGAACGATGGAAGGCTTGGTGGGCCATGTGCGCCAGGATCGATTCCACGTGTGCGTTGCAGGGCGCCTCCGACCACTGGGTACACGTGTCCGTAAAGGTGAGATGCCATACAATAAACCCACGTCGCTAGTTGGACGCTATACGGCGCAAACAAAATTCTTTTCTGAGGTTGTGAAAATAGTACCAGAGCTGTTTATGAAAAGCTTTCATCCCATGAAGAAGTAACTGTGAATGCCTTCGATGAATAGCTGAGAAGGTTCTGCTTCATAAATCGAAACGGAATCAGCTCGTTCAACATCTGAATACGTTTATTAAAGAGGCGGTCCCCAGTTAGCAGCCAAGTTCACCTGCAAATCCGAAGTCTTTCGTGAGTAACTGATGCGAGACAACGGGCCACTTAAAAAAGTAGCACCGCTTGTAATGTCGTGCTGATAGACATTTCAGAAAACATTTTCTTTTCTATATATTTGTATAATTTTTATACAATATATTCCTTCACCCTTTGGTGAATTGAAAAAAAAAACTTTGACCCTTACTAGCTTTTCGGGTTCGTTTCGATATATCAAACAAAGAGTAGTCTCGACGCTAACGGATATAGTAATCATTTTAACAACTACAATATGAAGCGGATGCTTGAAGATTTTAAGAAGCCAGCGAAAATGATTTGAATGCCAGTAGTCTAAAAAATTGCTCGATTACCCAGAAACATTAGCGTTGTGGATTGGCCACAAATGATTTTTTAACCATGTAAAGGCTCATGTGGACCACTCATATAGATGTTTTCTGACGTATATCTAACAATATCTAACATCACCAACATCGACCTAGACTTCATCGCTCGAATTTTCTAAAAAAAAAAAGGATCTTGGAAATTGATTTCGTTCACGTTAATTCTTAATTTTTAAGGAATTTTGATATCGTAAACAAATCAAGAAACAAGCCAGTTCTTTAATACGTTTGTTCTTCTTTTGATAAACGATTACCCTTCGCAACTTTCTTTTCCAGCATGCCAGCGATTAAGCTTATTTTGCATCGTATCTGCATAGGACTACGCTTAGATTTTCGCCACATGGGATATGCATTGATCTCAGGGCGTACCGACGTTCATTTTGTCGTTTCACCAAAAAATGAGTATATGCTTCTTCGCTAAATTACTTGAGATTTTCAAGCATTTTCCGATCGTCTGCAAGGGTTTTATGTTATACGAAACCTTTATGTTTTCCCATGTGTCTTCTTCTTGATGCGCCTATTTGCACCTAAAGCGAATTATAATCTGGTGAGCAGATTGCATAACTAATAGAGACGGAAACAACGCTGGTGAATCTCCTTCTGGTATTACCGTGTACTCCCAGGCGGTCGTCTGTTAGGATGAACAACAGACGTGTTTGTTTCTCAATCGATCATCTTTTATATGAGCAAAAACACACGAATTCTAGGTAAGTGAACGAGATCAGTGCCAGTACCATGTTCATATAGGGCGTGGTTCTTTTTGTTAATCTTCACGTTATTTCATAGGCTGCAATGAATAGGAACGGTAATAGTACGATTTTTCGTCTCGAAATGTTTAAAATTTCCAAAAGAAATTCATTCATGAGGCTGAACCGTGTTAATCCTTGGTATCAATCATGATCAAACTGACGTAGAAGCAACAGTCTTTGTGACCATTGCCAATTGTTGATTCTCGTCGAAATGTGCGTATTGACTACCCTGAGAGCCAACGCAGAGAGCTTTGTCCTTTTGTCCTTTCTTGCAGGTATTCTAAAAGTATTGATTTGGCTACTTGAAAGTGAACAATGTTCTTTCCGCAATTTTTAAATTTCCAAATGATATTAAGCCTTACCATGATACGGTTTAGTAAGCTGTTGAGTATTGAAACTTTTAGCAATCCTAAATGGTCTTCCTGAAGATTTATCGTTTTTGAGGTTATTTTTCTGGATTATGAGATTTTTTTGCGATTTCAGAAAGAAATTGTCAATGTCTATGCTTGACAGAAAATGGAAGACCTCCGATATGGAACCTGGTGTGTTGACGAAGAATTCCGTTGATCCTTCTAGTTCGTGAGTTGCCGTCCTCAGTTTCACAATAATATTGTTTCTAATAAAGTTTTATAAGAGAAATCATTAACACAAAGACTAATTACGCATCTGGACGGTGACAGGTTGAAGGTAGCGACGGGATCAATCAACACGGACACGCCGGGGTCCTCTACGCCAACATTTAGCCATAACGTGACAGAGAGCAAACT